CATCCATCCCTTCATCCAACATCTATCCATCCATCCATCCCTTCATCCAACATCTATCCATCCATCCATCCCTTCATCCAACATCTATCCATCCATCCATCCCTTCATCCAACATCTATCCATCCATCCCTTCACCCAACATCCATCCATCCCTTCATCCAACCATCCCTTCATCCATCCATCCAACATCCATCCATTTGTCCATCCATCCAACACCCATCCATCCATCCATTCAGCCATTCATCCATCCATCCGTCCATCCAACATCCATCCATCCACCCATCCATCCATCCATCCGACATCCATCCATCCATCTAACATCCATCATCCATCCATCCATCCAACCATCCCTTCATCCATCCATCCAACATCCATCCATCCATCCAGCCATTCATCCAACACCCATCCATCCATCCATCCATCCAACCATCCCTTCATCCATCCATCCATTCATCCATCCAGCCATCCAGCCAACACCCATCCATCCATCCATCCATCCATCCAACACCCATCCATCCAGCCATTCATCCAACACCCATCCATCCATCCAACACCCATCCATCCATCCATTCATCCATCCATCCATTCATAGCTGGTTCTCATCCTTTTGGTTGAATCTAAAGTAAAGACAGTAAAAATGATTCATTAGTTGTTTTTTGAAGCTTGTTCAGTGGAGTCCTTTGGGACTTGCAGTGAAAAGATGTCTTCAGACTGTGATGTGGAAACTTTAAAAGATTCAGTACAACATGACGACACTGTAGGCTCGTGTCTGAGTTACCTCACATCTGTTTCTCTTGCAACACCAGTCAGCCATTAGACACGTTTTATTAAGAAGTATCCTGTTGAAATACAATAACTATAGTTTAGAACTTTCCTTTGTTAAAATGAAAACATTTCATTGGACATGTATTTATTGATTTTATTTTTCAACCTGCCCAGGTACGCTGGGGAGAAAAAGGCTCGACCGAGGAGGGGGCCCGCCTGGAGAAGGCCAAAAATGCTATAGTGTCGGAACCCGAGGACGTGGAGGAGCCGATGATGAAACGTCCAACTCCAAAACCCACCGCGATGAACCGTCAGGCTGAAAACAAATGGTACACTCCCATCAAGGTGAGCTCTGCCACTCTGCACTTTCTTCTTTTTTTTATTTTAGTGACCTCGTCAAGTCAGGAAAAAACAAACAATAAAGAACTCCTTGTGACTGAAGTGTCTTAAAGAAAAGCAGAGAAAAAAAATCTAAATTTATTATTATTATTATTATTATTATTATTATTATTCAGTCTTTTGAGTTTTCTAAATCTTTAACATGCCTTCTTTTTATAAAGAGAACAAAATAAAGTCTTCTAAACCTAAAGTGTTTACTGTCTAAAATAATTACACCATATAAACTAGAAGGACTTCATTTTTTTCAGAAATGCAGTTTGAGTCCTGAGGACCGAAGAACTTTGCTGAAGAAGCTGAAAATGAGTTTAGCTAAAATAGATAAAAGCTTAATGTATGAAAAGTGTAACTAAAAATTAAAAATAATAAAACAGTAGCTAGGACCTAAACGTATCAAATTTTTAGCAAAGAGCTAAAAAATAGCAAAGTCATAGCTAAACGCAAAGCTACAAAAAGTTAAAAGCTACAATAATCAAAAGAAGCTAAAGACTAGGATTAGCAAAATATTAGCAAAATAGTAGCCAAAAGATAAAAGTAATGAAGTCCAGCTAAATGTATGAAAAAAATTAATAAAAATAAAGGCGAAAATTAGGAAAACAGTAGCTCGAACCTAAAAGTATCAACTAGTTAGCTGAGGACAAAATGACTAAGTGGTAGCT